ACATGTATTCGAGACAAGTGTACCACCATAAAAAAAATCGCCAATCGAAGGTACATAGCCCGCAAAATTTGAACATTCACCTTACTTTTTGAACAGACCTCGTATGTGTAACCTTTGACCTATGTTGAAAAAATTTTGGTTAGATGGCGAAGAGGTGGCAGTTTTCCAAGCTTTCTGTAAAGAAAATACGATATCATGTCCGATTCCTGAAACATAGGGCTAAACCAAATTTAATTAATATTGAATTTGGTTTTATTGAAAAATGATTCAGATATTTTCATTCTGATTTGGCTTGATTTGATGCATTTCATTTTCTTTGGAATACGAAGATGTGTCATGAAATAACATTAAGCTTTTATTTTCATGTTATTTTAACTATCTTCAGAATAATGACTATTCGTGTCTCTGTTGGATTATAATTTCAATGAGGAAGTTGACCCATGCATCTTACATTAAATTCAGTGTGAACAGCAAAGTAAAAGGAAACGGGTTGTTGCTGTTGGTATTCAACAAAATCTCCACTCTGCTGAATCTTCAGCAAAAATGTCAGTCCGGTATATCTCTTAGAATAATATACCGGATGACACCAAAATAATTGTTCACGGCACCATTCAGTTGTTTGCGGGATGGAAAATTTTACATTTGAAACGAAACTATTGAAAAAACCCTTCCGGTTTAATCTGAAATAGACTCGGATCAAGATTTTTTGAATCAAAGCCTGTATATTTTTTTCATTTGATGGCATGTGAAATTTTCTTTCAACGATATAATACAAGCGGCTACTTCTATTCGGAATGCCGTTGTAAAGACCATTTTCACCAAAATGCCATTTAGGAATATATTGGCAAATAAGTTAGAGAATTGGAGAAAGACGAAGTTAGCTTAGTTTTTGGGAAAAATTTGATAATCATTGATTTTTCTCACCACCACACGTTAAAAGGTAAGAGTTCGTTAATCCTTAGCTCTCACAAGTTTCGACTTTTGAGGAATGTTGTTCGTGGGGGGCGACAGCTGGGTAACGGAAAAACAGTTTTTAATAGATTTTGAAAATTTTCGAATTGTTATTTTTGATATTCAAAGTGTACCTCTTATGCTACAAAAAATGTCGGACACTGGCAGACAGCTTACGGGCTCCTTAGCCACATTTTAAATTCATTTTTCTAGATTTGTTTACTGCCTGTCTTCAATGATAGCCCACTGACTAATAAGAAAGTTTCTCTTCCTTATTCACAGGAATCGGGCAAATTTCGGATATGCATCTGGTTAGTACCTCGTCCACTAGATGGAGTGACAGTTTTGATGTTCGCTCCAACTTAAGACGAGGAATGAAATGCTCTGAAAAAATTTTTATTTTCGATGATGGTCACTATATTGCATTAACGAGTGGCTAAGGAGCCCGAGCAAGTGTACCCGTGGCAAAATCGAAGGTCGACTCTTTTAGTTGTATTGCCAATTGCATATGCAGGAAGTTTTCTGTGAAGATTCCTGGACTGACGCCTGTCTGATATAATCCAACGCCGTTCGTGGTAATAGCCAGTGGAGTAGTTGTTTTCTGAAAGGCGTCAGTCCATTCAACCTACCGTATAGGTATATCCGAGACGGGCTTGAACATTTAAAGTTCATTTGTTTAGATTTAATAAAAAATAAAGTAAGTAGTAAATAACTGACTATGGGATAGATCATCTTTGAAAATTTTACTCATTCATATTAGTTATTGATACAGAAAAATAAATGAACCTGCATAATATCTGATATATTTTAGGGTGAAATTTAAGATATCTGTTTAAATATTACTTTCTATTTTCGGAATGAATGAAATGAAAAATGGCATTGATAGGTATTTGAAATTTTTCTTTGAAGTATGTACCAGGAAGTTGTTTGTTTCTTTTTTAAGTTTGAAATTATCACATAGCGCAGAGTTAGCAACATAGACTTCGTATAGATACAAATTGATTTTTGAATAAATGAAGTCGAATACCTATCTACTGGATCAATATTGGGTTCAATATGCCAATTCAATATGAGTTTATGAATACATAAAACATAAGATGAGACAATAGAAAGCCTTCTATGGTCGAGAGAAACGGTATTCTTGTCAAGATATAAGAAGAATTTTCTTTGGAGTATTCCAGTCGTTTCGAGAGACATTTTCTGTCGACTAGTCGAGACAAAAGGCAACATCTAGGGGAGACCGGGGTTGGAAGTCACATTGTTTGTCTTTTTCATTTTTAGTGCAAAATGATATTTTTCATCAATAGAAAGTGTTTTTATACTAATTTGAAAAAAAATATATTATTTTTCTCTACAACATCAACCATAGAGGAAATATAACAATTCTTATGGAAAAGAAAAAGTGTGACTTTTGAATGAATGAATGCTTTATTCATCATTGGATAATCAGATTACAATGTATAAAGAGAATATAAAAAATAGAGATTACAGAAAATATAAAAAATAAAAGAATAGTATGGAACTTGCTAAAATTTTTACACAGATCTATCTATACATATACATTAACATATACATACATATACATACACAGATATATACCTACATACACAAAATAATATCATAATGAACCCACATCAGGAACCACCTATTGTATACATATATACACATATACATACATATAAACATATACACACACATACATACACATACACATTTATAATGTTCAATTTGTCACATATTCTTTCAATTTTGTTTTAAACAATTTTATGGACGAAGATTCTTTGATTTCACGAGGAAGTAGATTGAATTCAACAATACCTTTGAAAAAGACAGATTTCATCGAACTAGCTTTAGAGGTTGGTTTTACATAGAAATTCATATTACTTGCAGTTCGTGTTGCTCGATCATGGATATTGTTCACAGGAATCAATTGACACTGTAAATAATTGGGCAGTAAATTATTTATAATTTTGAAAACGAAAGTCATTGTTTGAATATAATGATTCTGTTTCACATTAAGCCAATTGAGGATATCCAACATCGATTTTATATTCGTGTACCTGTTGCAACCAAGGATAATACGCACTGCTTTATTTTGCAGAATTTGCAGTCATAATTAGATATGTTCGTGAAAATTATAGAACTGGAATATTCGAAATGAGGCAATATCATAGTATTGTACATTTTTATCCGACTAGACTGAGATAAAGATGAAGTTATACGTCTCATGATTCCGATTTTTTTAACTATTTTTTTCGAAATATAGTCAATGTGTTTATCAAATTTTAGTTGGGTTAAATTACGAATCCCAAATATCTCATTTCCTGAACCCGTTCAATCCGCTGATCATTTATTTTGATATCTAATTCCATACTTAGAAATTTTTTATACAGAAAATTAATGCCAATAAACATATATTTACTTTTAGTTTCATTAACTTTCATTTTATTGATTTTAAATTTATAAAAAAATTGATTTATTTCATCATTCAATGTGTTCATAAGATCAGCGAAACCACTACTATTGAAGTATATTAAGGTATCATCAGCGAAAAGATGAAATTTACATTTCGTCAAAACAGAATCCAAATCATTTACATATAACATGAATAAAAGAGGACCTAAAACACTTCCTTGTGGCACACCATAGTTGTTGAGGTGGTACTCTGACTCTATGTTTGCCATTTTGGTTTTTTGATATCTATTGCCCAAGTAACTCGTTATCCACTGTATTACTGAACCCGAAAATCCATATTTCTTTAATTTCAATATTAATATTTCGCGATCGATTGTTTCAAATGCCCTTTTCATATCAATGAAAACTGCACATACTCCAAGCACATTTTAACCCCAAGCCGGGGATGGTAGTCACACTATCTGGAGCAAGTAGGTAATTGAGGGGTATAAAAAACCTTCAAATGAATATTCTCATCGAAAGTGGAATGATATATGTAATTAATTATATCCAACAAGGGAAAAAAGTTTCTCATTTGTAGGAAAAATTGAATAACTTTCTTCTGGTAACTAAAATACCAAAAATATCCATCAGGCCGCAATGCTTGTAAACTAAAAATACCCATCCTAGTGAAATTATATTTAGTCATTCTAAAATACAGTGAATATTCAATATCACAAGTATGGTAAATGTTTTTCGTAATGAATACTTGAAGCCATAAGTATGTATGTTTCTAATTCTTTCTTCTATTTGTCCGTGAAGATTTGCCTATACCTTTGATAACCAATTTTTGTTGATGGTATTAATAACACCGTGTTTCTTATCTCTTCGATATTTTATACAAAACCGTGTCGGAGTGAGATAATAATTAATTCTAAAATCACTTCTTTTGCAGCACGCAGTATTACTGCGTGTAATACTACTTGATCAGACGTTCTCATAGATGCCATGACATTTCTATGAATTTTTCTAAAACAAACAAAATTGTATGAAGCAGAAACTCAAAAGTCAACAAAAATGCAGCATATTTCAAAATATAACCCCCTGAAATAACTATGAATCGATATTTATTCATAAAAACGGAGAGTGATATCATGAACCACATATGTCACATCAAATATACATGAAATAATATATATCTACGGAAAATTCTTATGAGAACCGACACAAATGCACAAAAATTTACTTTAGTCGTTCAAAAAAAACAAAAACTAATGTACGTATCTGCCTCACACAGTATGAGAGTAAACTGAAGTGACGTTAGGATGAAGATATTGCTCTCGCAATATCTTCGTTCGATAAACGTTTTCGTTCGTTCAGTTTTGTAATATGGCCGCTGTGACAACCGACACGTGAGACAACCTTGCCCGGTCTCCCCTACTCGGTACCGGAAGTGCAGTAACTTTCCATCCGGTAAACGTGATCTAATTTGAAAAACTCGCACATTTTCGAGCCAACTCTTTCACTGAAAGTGTCACAGTGTGAATCAATATATGTGATATACAACATATTCATCAGTATTGCTTTTTTCAGTCAAGATTCAAACAAATATTTATATTTTTTCTCCAATTTTGATCGAACCCTTCTATTTCCAGAAATTCAACAAGTGACAAGCTCCAAAACCGAATTACGGAAGTCCGGCCGACAAAGGTCCAAACGGAAACCACGTGTCCTGTTCTCCCAGGCCCAAGTGTACGAGCTGGAGCAGCGTTTCAAACAACAAAAGTACCTGTCAGCCCCGGAGAGGGAACAAATGGCGCAAGGGCTGAAATTGACCCCGACGCAAGTCAAGATCTGGTTTCAAAACAGAAGGTACAAGAATAAGAGACAAAAAATCGAAAAATCCGAGATGGACAAAAAGACTACTGACGCCAGCGTGACAAGTTCTAGTTTCTGTTTAACGCAGCAGATGACACATAATCCTTACATTTTTCAGAATAACAGCAGTGCTTATAGTCACAACGACTATGTGTGTCACGAGAGGTTTAATGAGTTGGGGATATCATTCAATTCATAGATATTTTGGAACTCAAAGTGAATTACAATTTCGGTGTTTTCAGTTTGAATTTCTTAGATTGTTTATGGAAGGGATCATTTTTTGTCTCTTCACAAGATATTCTATTTATTTAATTGAATAGAACTGGCCAATACTTGATGAAAATCCATACTTAAACTAATTAATACAGTTTATTGTATGATTTTCACTATGAAGGGTTTTACAAAAACTACGACACGTGTTTTGCTATAGAAGCATAAATTAAAACTAAAAATTACTTCTAAATTACAACCATTTAATACTCTAACCTATTACCTACTCGTATGCCTAATTTCTAAAAGATGAATCAACCTGAAAAGGTCAGGTACGAATTCATAAATTTTTCAAAGTACCGTAAATATACCTAACTATTTTTACGTGGAAATGAACAGATTCAATAATGGCGAATTATTCAATTCAGTTTTTTCATTCATAACATATTGAGAGTTTTTGAATTTGTTTATTTTCATACTCCCCGACAGGTTAAGTTTCAAACCTATTTTCTGGAAATGGAGGTGCTTGAATTCCTAGTTAAACTAATGTCCTTCTGTGATCAAGTGAGTTGCATATGTGCAATTAATTTTTCCATTCTGGAAACTATATTTGTGTTCCTTTATGCGGATTTTGAACGTTCTTCCAATTTGATCTATATAAAACATCGGACATGACCCACATAATAATTTATACACTCCCGATTTTTCGGAAACTGGACTTTTATCTTTGTTATTCTCAATGTGCATGCCTAAGTTGTTGTTGGATTTGAAAGCAATATTTACACAATTGCTGTGCAGAAAATCTGAAATATATGTAGTGGGTTGACCTAAGTAGGTTAAAGTTCTATAACTTTATTATCTCTTTATTATCAAAAAAGTTATACAGTCAAGCTTTGAAAGAAGTTTACCCAATTCGAAGAGAAGAGGATGAAATTTATAGAACCTTAATCTACTTAGGCCAACCCACTACAAATATTTCAGATTTGCTGCACAGCAAAGGTGTAAATATTGCATTCAAAACCAACAACAACTTAGGCATGCACATTGAGAATAACAAAGATAAAAGTCCAGTTTCAGAAAAATCGGGAGTGTATAAATTATCATGTGGGTCATGTCCGATATTTTATATAGGAAAAACTGGATGAAAGTTCAAAGCCCGCATAAAGGAACGCAAACATAGATTCCAGAATGGAAAAATAAATTCCTCATATGCCACTCATTTGATCACAGAACGAATGAGTTCAACCAGGAATACAAGCCCCTTCATTTCCAGAAGAAAGGTTTGAAACGTAACCTGTTGGAGAGTATGGAAATAAACAAATTTAAAAACTCTCCAGGTAAAAATAGTTAGGTATATTTACGGTAGTCTTGAAAAATGTATGATATAGTTAATTAATTCATACCTGACCTTTTCAGGTAGATTCATTCATCAGAAATTAGGCATACGAGTAGTAATAGGTTAGAAATAGTATAAGATGGTTGTAATTCAGAAGTAGCTTTTTTCAGTTTCAATTTATGCTTGAGTATAGCGAAACACGTGTCGCTATTTTCGTAAAACCTTTTGTAGTGAAAATCATACAAAAAACTGTATCAAGTAGTTTTTCTATTTTTTTTTAATCACTGAAAAAATACTATAAATCAAACAAATTTCCTGTTCGACAGAAAATTAAAGAAATGCATTAAACTCAAAAGAAAATTTTACCCGAACAAAAATATTTTGATTCATATGAAGGCGAAGCATTACTATAAATTTCGAAAATAAAACTCACCAAATTCCGATTCCAAAGTCATAGTTTCACAAAATTTCGAGTTTACAGGTGAAATTTAATAAAACTACAAGTTTTAATTCGGAGTTCGATGAAGTTGTTACAATCTGACTTCAATTCCAGAATATTGTTCGGAGTATATTCTGAATTGTGAACTCGAAGTTTTATTAAGTTTTCGTTCATTATTTTCATATCATCAAACTGCAAATAGGGCATAAAACTGCTTTTTTATTGCAGAGGGAGATACGTTCCGCAAAAATGAATTCTTAAAAAACCGAGTCCAATCTATACAGTGTAGATAGACAGAATCGAAATTTGAATACTAACAAATATGAGTGCACGTTCAATATCCATAAAACATTTAATCAAGAATTGCTTCAAGTCGAACAGCAGGCGAGACCTGTTGAAGTATATTGAAGTGGTTAGTACCTTTACTTCGAAAAGTACAGCAAAATATTACTCAGAGTAGAAAGTTGAAATCGAATATAATGTCATAGCCATTCAGTCACATTTTTATTATTTTTGTAAGATTTTGATTCAGTATGAACTGACGTATTTTGCAGTACCTATCATAAATTAATTTTTTATCGACCTCAATCTGAAAAATATAAAAATTATAATGAAGAGCTTTATATAAGTGTAGAAGGGCAAACTTTTTAGTTCACCCCGATAAGTTACTGCGTAAAATCAAAGTATTTTTCACAAAAAAAAAATCTTCTATTCATCAGTAACTTGTCGTATTTATCAATTTTGCCTATAAAAAAATTGCTAAGAAATAATACAATACTTATCTTAACGTTTCGGAGGCCAAAATCTGCATCCTTCTTCAGTGTTCTATTATATGATTCAATATCAAAATAGTCTTTAGGAAAATAATATTCATTTCTATAAATTTGAGAGACATAATTCACAAGTCCTTAATTTTTTTCCTATATCTTTCAAGTTTTTACTCAAACTTATATGATTCAAACTTCTTACACTTTTTTTATCTTATGAATTGTAATTCACTCTGACTCAATATCTCACTACTGAATTCGAATAATTCTGAGTCGATTAGTCTGAATTATTTTGAAGACACAATCCAAAATATATTAGATATTTCGGTAAATAATTCCAAAGAAAATGTTACCAAAAAAAGTATTCACCTCTTTGGGGTTTAGCTTTAATCGTTTCAAGTTAAAATGCTTAAACTACGAGATATTAACATTTGTAAATAGTTTCATGAGATCTGTATATATTTTATTACGAAATAAATTGTTTTATACCATATTTTGTTTTTAATTCAACTCAATATATGTTATATAATACGGCTTCATTCTACGGTTTATAAATAGTATCAATTTCCAAAATGAAAAAAAATGCAATATCTCATTGATAGTTATTTTGTATACCTTCGCTAGAATAATGAATACCAAAAATTATTATCTCATTTATTTCACTGTCTAGTTACCTTCAGAAAAAACTAAGATCTGAATGTTGGAGAGTCGTCATTAAAAAGTGTGTTCAAATTTGGAATTCAATAGGAGATGAATCAGAAAAATTTTGAAAATACTGGGACGCTAATTTGTAAAGGAAATATTTTATTGTGAAATCAAACGAAAATAAATTGTCACAGCTAGAAACAAATGTTGATAAAAAAACGGGAAAATCAAATAAATATGCGAGAATTGCGTTTACGTTTACAATAGCGTAAACACTTGAGGAAGCTATTGTATAGCGAAAGTTAATATAAATTTAGTTTCAGCTGCTAATTTAATTACTTCTACGAAAAACAATTTAAAATCTATTCAAAATTCTGAATGGATTTAACAATTAGAAAAGGAAGCCAAAAATCTTGCTAGAAAGTGTGGTACTACTGAAGAATTCAAAACAACACACATTAGATGAACAAATCGACTTTTTGAAGAAACCGCTGAAGGATTATGTGCAAAAAACAACAGTGTTTTATGTTTCTTTGGACATATTGATTCAAACAATGGATGATAGATTTGAAGACTTCATGAAAATTTGGAACAAATTTGTTTCTTTAGATAGTAAACACTTTTCAAATTCAGCTATTTACGAGAGCTCAGCGTATTTTATAAATCTGATATTACAAATATGATGGATGTAATTGCTAAATACCAATCTTTTTGTTTATTATTCAGAGACCTTGAAGATGATCAAATTAATCAAATCATCTAAAAGAACAATTCGTTCAGGCCAGTATCAACACCTTACACAGTAGGTTAATGGACTGACACCTATCAGAAAACAACTACTCCCATGGCTAATACCACGAAGGGCGTTGGATTATATCCGATAGGTGTCAGTGCAGGATTCTTCACTGAAGTTATTCCTACTTATGCTGTTGGCGATACAACTGCTGCAATAGATTTTCATGAAAATCTATTGAAAATCTAGAGTTTCATGAAAATCTATTGCGGCAGTTGTATCGCCAACAGCATATGCAGGAATAACTTCAGTGAAAAATCCTGTTCTGACACCTGTCGGATATAATCCAACGCCCTTCGTGGTATTAGCCAGGAGAGTAGTTTTTTTCTGATAGGTGTCAGTCCATTGACCTACTGTGTAGGGTGTTGAGACTGGCCTGAACGAATTGTTCTTTCAGATGATTTGATTTATAGCCAGTCTCCAAGTATGCCCACTGACTATACCTGAAAAATCAAATTAATGTAAAAACCAAAGAAACATTACCATATCTCATTTCACATGATCCGGAAAATGCATTTCCGAATGTAGCTAAACTCTACCGAAATTTTATCACAAATAGTGCAACTACTGAACACACTTTGAGTAGATTGAAAAATATTAAAACCTGTGTTATATCCACGATAGGTGAAATGTTGAACGATTTGGCAGTATTGAGCATTGAATCGGATTACTCAAAAAAACATAGATTTTTCTTTCGTACTGGACGAATCTAAAAACATAAAAACGAGACGTTTACTACTGATGTAAATTGTAAACAACAACTATTTTGAAGTCTGGGTCGATAGTTTATTATTAGTAGAAATAGTTAGTTTTGTTTTTGTATATGTATTCTATTTCATTACTGTAATATTTCTTTTATTATAGTTTTGTGATATTAGTTCGTTTCTTAATGGAAAATACAGTATTACTTCAAATAGCTATGCGTTTTTACTGAATCTTGGTCAATTTTGTGAAATCAGAAAAACATTCCTCAGTTATATTATAAGAAAATATTAAAATACAAAAACAGATCTGCAATGAATAATTTTTTAGTG